AAAAATTAATACGACATTAATAGTGGATATTTAATCGAGGACTCAATATGACTTGAAAATGGCCCTAGTGATGGTTGAAACGTCGTCGCAATAAAATACCTAATAAATAAAATGTTGGTGAATAATGACCTACTTTATATAACAAATAGAATAATTAATTATTTACTATTATCACACGGCAAATGTGAAACTAAATACAATTATTTATTTTTACTAATCACTCCTGCCATCCTCCTTCTCTTCAATTATTCACAACAGTCAACAATCAACCCGCAATTATAAAAAAAAATGTGATTAAAAATAATAGATGTATTGAGTGGCATCGAGAATAATAAATTCTTATTATGTCCCTAGCAAAGAATTTGATGTTAAATTACGTGAAATAAATGTTTATACATTATTGTCAAAATGGCAGTAAGAATCTGATTGTTTTGGGGACAGGAATTGGAATAGGAGAGTTTTGAATGTGAATAAGAAGGGGGAATGCCGAATTTTGATAGGAAGAGAATTCCAGATATTGACAAAGCGGGCAACAAAAGAGTTTTGGAATGAGGCAGATTCGTGAGAAGAGGTGTAGAGGTCAGAAGGTCTAGATCTTGTGGTAAGGGGATGGTCTGAGGACTTGAACTTTGAAGAAGGTTGTAGACATAAGAAGGAAGATGATTGTTGATGATTTGACAGAGGAATGTACCTAGGAAATATTGTCTTCGGAAGGAGGGAAAGAGCCACTTTAACTCAGTGCAATGGTGAGAGACACGGGAATGTCTCGGGGTCCCAATTTCAGATCTTACGAAGTTATTCATAATAGAAAATAATTCAGTTTTATGTTGTTTGTTATTATTTCTCGCTCTCCTCCATGATTTACTTATCCATAATCTACACTTTTCTTGCGTGGTTTATATTTTTTTATTAATTTATATTGTACAAATGTGAATTAATAATTGTTGACCATGATCCTTTTTTGAAATCATCTGAACTTGCACGACCTCTAAGAGAAACTATATTCTAAAAAATGGCAAAGGCGGTGGGACAACAGCGCACCTAGCAAATTAAAGACAATAAAGAAAGAGGTGAAACGTGGACCAGCTCCAGACGCAGCAGTCGTAGAGAAGAGGTCGTCCTAACGCGACTGAAAATCAGATATACTAGACTGACATACCTCCACCTCATAACGAAAGATTTTATCCACAGATACAAAAAGTGTGACCAGTTATTAACTATAAAACATGTTTTGGAAGAGTGCCTTTAACCGCAAGGTTAAAAGATCTCGGAATACTCCAAAATATATCAGCATCCCTGGGAAATCAAGAAGAAATCATTACCAAAGTTATGAAGTTCCTAGACAATGAAAGACTTAAAAATCATATATGACAAGTTTATAACTACTGATCCTTTGCAGATTTATTTATTTATTTTTTTAATTTTAAAAGTTCATTTATTTATTAATTTCAATTCATTTATTGATTTTATTGCTATTTTTTTTCAAAGCTTACTTATTTATCTATTCTATCTTATTATCTTTAAGTGTCTATTATTACCTTCATTTATTTATTTTATTCTATTAATCTTTTTATTATTTCTTTGTTTTTATCCTTTTTTTATTTATATTTATAACAGTATAAAAGTAGTGTTATTTAGTTGATCGGGTGCTAATGAGATGGATGTTTTCCCTCTAGACATCGAGACAAACAAACAATAATAATAATATTTTATATATAATAATATAGTAGAAATGAATAATTTTTTTTAAATTTCTTATAAATTTATTTTTATCGCAATTCTTGTTTAAACAGTGTTTAAATTTAAAAAAAAAAAATAAGTCCTTTCAAATTAAAATCAAACAGTGAAGTACTAGTTATTATATGAGGAGTTTCAAGTCATTACTACTAGTAACACTTTAGCACGAGGAGCCATTCACTCAAAATTACTCAAAAATTGATAACAGATTAATTTTTAGATTTCTAACTTTTAAATTATTTATTTATTAATGAAGCCTCAATAATACCCGCCTAATTAAAATAACAGAAAAGTTATCATAACTTGAAATCGGTTGAAGATGAAGTAGTTCATCATCATGCTTAGTCACCAGATTTCTTTTTCACGAACTTTTGACGTCTAGATTTTCCAGTTCATAGAGGCTGAGTGTGCCCAAGAGGATCTAATATTTAAAAAATCCCTGGAGTCTAGTGTAACGTTCTAAAGTTGGAAAACTTCGTACCGTAATTTTCCCTGAGGTGAAAAGTTCCAAACAAAGTTCCATTTTAAAAGTTTATTTAAATCTTTTTAGGAAAGAGTTTTTAAAAAACAATTCTAAGGAATTTTTATATTCCTTTTAAATTAAAAAACTTATAAAAGGGAAATAAGTTATAGGTATAAGGTAAAACTTTAACTTTTATTTATTTAAGTTTAAAAAAAATATGTTAAAAGAGAAATAAACAGTGATTGGGTTTAGATTAGAGTATACAATGTATCTTAAATGAATTAATTAATTTTAATTTGAAATTTTTTTGGGTAGCAAAAGGTAAAAGTAATTTTTTAGATAGACTTTTTGACAAAATCAACAGAACTTTTAAATAAAATATTGTTTAAAATAAAAGTTCTGTAAAATGTTCACTTACGAAGTTGCAAAGAAAAAAGTTATAGTTCCGAAATAACAAAAGAAAAAAAATTAAAACAAACATTGAATTCGTACCGAAACTGATTTTAAAAAAATAAATAAATACTATAAAAATGAATACATCCTTCCTAAGAAAATATTTTTCAATTATTCATTTATTTATTTATTCAATTTAAATTTTTAGTTTTGTCTTATTTCTTTTCTATTTTCATGGAGTTGCGTTGACATATGTGTGGGTGTGTGATTTAGTCTAACATTCGAACATATATTTTTTTTTTCAGAAAATATATATGTTGGGTAATAGTAATTGTTTAATTTAGTGTATTAGTGATATTGTATATGACTAGTATTATGCAAAAGTAGTACAAAAAAATAATAATGGCATAATGTAATGTAATATGTCCAGTATGCATCCATGATCAGTATGCTGTGTATAAAGCAACACTATATAGTAGGGCAGCATTACTTTCAATAAAGTATTTCTCTCTACAATATAATTACAAATTACGGCTCCTGGCAATTATATTTTGTCCTACGTACCGTGTATGCCAACATTCAAAGAGATAAAATCATTTAGACAAAGTCCTACAGAACTTTTAAATAAAAGATTGTTTAAAATAAAATATGTAAGGAAAAAAGTTCTAATTCCGAATTAACAGAAAAAAATTAAAATAAACATACCATTCGTACCAAATCTGATTTCAGAAAAAAATACTATAAAATGAATACATCCATCCTAAGCAGATATTCGTCAAAATATGTCCATTTATTTATATGTTTATTCAATTTTAATTATTACCTTTTAATCTATTATCTATATGAAGCAAATTTCATGGAATTGCTTTGGTATATGTGTGTGATCTTGTATTTCTAGCATTTGAATATATATACATATATATATATATATATATATATATATATATATTATATATATATATATATATATATATATATATATATATATATATATATAGAAATTATATATGTTGTTTAATATTAATTGTTTTATATAGTGTATTAGTGTGTTAGGTCTTGCACTTTGCAAGACCAAGACCAAGGCCGCTTAACTGTTGCAAAACCAAGACCAAGACTGCTAAAAAAAAATCGATTTTTTGAATAAAAATCAAGGCGAAATATTTACTAATAATTGACAATCTTAGTTACTATTTGTAAATAATTGGTATAACCAATATACTTTTGCATTTAACTCCTCTATTTTTTCATTTCGGCTTAGTTAGGTCTCTCCTATCTAAAAAATTACACTAATATCTCTATAGTAATAAGCTAAAAAGTAACTGCAAGACTGTTACGAAAGACCAAGACTGAGTTTGGAAGACCAAGACTCGTCTCGGTTTCGCATATGGGCAACACTAATTACGGCTCCTGGCATATATAATTTGTTCTATTTACCGATTTATGCCAACATCCGAAAGAGAAAAAATCATTTTGGTAAAGTCAACAGAACTTTTAAATAAAAATTCTGTAAAGTCTTTACTTCACAAGGTTACAGGGAAAAAAGTTCAATTTCCGTAATAACATAAAATATAAATATAGTAATAAATTATTTACAAATAGTAAATAAGATTGTCAAGTATTATTAACTTAATTTTTATTCAAAAAAACGATTTTTTTTCCAGTAATGGTCTTTTTTTTCGTTTATACCACAAGTAATCCTGAGATTTTTTTTTATCTTAGTGTTTCCTTATTATTATATGAATCACTGTAGATATTATTACATTCTGCATTAAATTATTTTTCTATTAGATAGCCGATTGTTTATAAATTGTGCAGTTATGTATATATAGATATGTAGTCTTTTTTTTTTTTTCATCTCAATAATAAGTAATTTTGAGAAAATTTTATGTTCATTTATATAAATATATAAAAATATTATTATATCTGTAAAATATTATTATATAAATATATAAAAATAAATATATATCTATATATATATATATATATATATATATATATATATATATCTTTTTTTTTTTTTATTTCTTAGTGGTTACATACTACTTTTTAAATAATGTATATAATGTTAGAATTTTTGGACAGATTTGTATTTTATTTTGTATTAATTCATCTTTGTTATTCTATGGGGACTTAGTCACAGAATAAAGTTCGATTTTCTATTCTATTCTATTCTATACAGTAATGTAATATATCTTATATAAATTTGTCACATTTCATTTTTCATATAATATTATTATGTTTTTTTTATTGAAAATAAAGATTCCGTTCATAACGAGACTGATTAAAAATCTCTGATGAAAACTAAGTTACATTTCCAGTGCCTCATTCGAGGTCAATTCAAAAAGTAACTATGCTTTGTATATATCTCATATATTACAATTGCTATGTAGTATTTGGATGTACAATTTTAAGGGATGGTCCAACAGACCACGTATTTGGGAAATATATTGTGGATCATTCGAAACATAAAAAGCCCCCCCGTAGGATAAATAATAACAGTGAGTACAATTTGGGGCGATGTGATCAGTGAAAGGGTCCCCACCCAACTCCAGGCCGTATATATACCGCCTCGCTCCAGTCTACCAGCATCAGTACCTCACAGGGCAACTCCACAACCTACAATGGCATTCAAGGTTAGTAACACAGAGTACCTCATAGTACTCACTATGGCTTCGAGGTACTTCATTCTGAAGTATATCATTCAAGATAGGACTTAAATTATAAATTAAAGTAAAGTAAAGGCGGTTTAAACTTTTTTTACAAAGCAGAACACTTCATAGGTTAAGCTTGATCCATTATCGATAAATTAAATGTTTAAAGTCATTGTAATCGTTAATTGTATTAAAAGTTAAATTATCTTAGTAATTACAATTGCAAAATTTTATAATGAAGTAAATGAAATTTCATTAAAAATAAAAGGTAGATTCAAGATTAAGAAATGGTCTAAAGAATCCTAATATACGCCAAAAAAAATAATAATAAAAAATACTTCAGATAATTAAGACTAAAGATAACCGCTTGAAGTTAGTAAAAATACATATATGGGGTATATAACTTTTTTGGTATAATAAATAATTCATTCCAAACTTTTGACTAACCTCTTTTTCTGAGAAATTTAAAATAAAGAATTTTCAGCATTTTTATTACTATTTCCAATCAATTACAATCACGATAGTATAGCAAAAAAATGAATTTTGGAACTACATTTCTTGAAAATAATACAATATAATAATAAACAGAAACCTTTTTTGAACAAAAGACGTTTTTAAATAATATATTTATTCTATTTTTATTATATTTAAACATTTGTTTCTTGACTTCAAATTATTACTTTGAATCGTAATCAACGTAGGACTTCATTATTTATTATATATTTCAATAAATTTTCTTATATGATTTTTTCTTATTTTTTGTTACTATATTTTATATAAATTTATTCGAATGGTTTTATTCCAAAGGATTTCAAAGATAATATAAAGAATATTATTTTTAAGATAACATTGGTTAAATACTTATAAAATAAATAAAAAAGAAAATTATATTATTATATCAGCATACTAAGACAAAATAAAATATATATCTGTTATAAATTCAATATTATTCAAAACGGTAAATTCACATAACGTTTTTTTTTTTTTTTTTTAGAAAATTGATAGATATTAAATATATATATATAATAACTTAAAACAGCAGCACGGTCATTTAATCATCCAATTTAATGAAGGTACCCACATAAGCAGTTGAAATTTAAATGTAAATTGCTTATGATTCTGTTAGTCCCACGTGACTATTGTGTTCAGGCACACTGATAATGCAATACAATTTCACAATTAGACGTAATTTAATAGAAAAGATGAATTTTCCCTTCGTGAAATCGAAGTATTGTGCAATTATTTAACTATATTTGATATATAAAAGAAGTTGGATCATTTTAGTGATACTTTTTGTGGTCGATAAAGAAATTCATAAAAAAGCTCAGCTCCATGAAAACTGTTCTTTGTTACTTAAACCGATGATATATAATTTTTTTTTATATAAACGTAATTCTATTCTATATTTTATTAATCGCAAAATATTGCTGTAGTGTCAATAGATTGATAAAAATTTAACTTTATTATGATGATGAATTTTATTTTCAATATTTTTATAAGCACTATTTTTAAAACCACCTTTAAATGATCTTTTCATATTTTAAGGATTGGTTCAAAGCAAACGACTGTATGTTTTAATCTTTTTGTAATCACCGTTACTGACATTACTAATTTCAATAAAGCTATATTCTCTTGCCGACATGACGCGCGGCACACTTGCGGATTCACATCAGTTTTTAGGACAGGATCGAATTTATAATTGAAAGGGAGGAAAAAACATCCATAAAAACCATTGATGCCTATAATAAAGATTCCTCTGCCAGAGGAGAGAATAATGGGATGAATCTGGCAACAATGGTCGGATTAGGCAAGGGTTGCAATAATAGCAGGTCCAATGCCCGACGACAATGCGCGGATTCTCAACATGTCTTTTTCTGTTACAGCTCGTACTCTTCTCCGCCATGGTGGCCGCCGCTTACGCTGGAGTCGTCCCAGCCTACGCCGGCCACGGCTACGCCAGCCACGGCTACGCCGCAGCCCCTCTGGCTTACGCCGCCCCAGCTTACGCTGCCGGACCTAAGGCCATCGTCGACGAATACGACCCACATCCACAGTACTCCTTCGCTTACGACATCCAGGACGCCCACACCGGAGACTACAAGTCCCAGCACGAATCCCGCGACGGAGATGTCGTCCACGGATCTTACTCCCTCGTCGAACCTGATGGCTCCAAGAGGACCGTCGAGTACACCGCTGACCCACACAACGGATTCAACGCCGTCGTCCACAAGGAAGGAGGAGTCCACCCTGCCCCAGTTAAGGTCGCCGCCCCCGTCGCCTATGCTGCCCCTCTGGCTCACGCAGCTTACGCAGCACCCGTCGCTCATGCAGCTTACGCAGCACCTGTCGCTCACGCAGCATATGCCGCTCCATCCCTCAGTTACCACCACTAAGTCTGCCAAAGCCAACCTTCGCTCATTTTTTATACAAACATTTTGTAATATATTTATAATTACTTTTTTATTAAAAAAAAAGTAAAAACAAAATTACGATTATTTATTACATAACCTCAACCTTTTGTTTACTCTTATTATTTTTTCTTTCTTGTAATAAAATAAGTTTAAATCTTCAAAAAACAGAAAGTTGCGGATACAGAAACACGATTTCAAAACACCTAAAGCAAACAATATCAACAAAAAAAACATTATCTAGTTAATCAGCTATATTAATAAAAAGTAAAGTTTTTTTTTCAAAAAATTTCTTTTCAGATTTAATATTAATAGTTTTTTCTTTTCGTATTACAGTCCTGGTAGATCTTTTAAAACCTTAACCAACCTGCACGCGGTTCTATTGTATATTTGTTGATTCGATTTATACATGTGGTTTTTATAAAACAGTCATTTGATTTTCTTCTATAGCATATCATACATATATATATAGCTTAATATGACATTTAACGAAAGAAAAATAATCCACAAAATTTTATATAAATGTATATATATGATCACAATTATTGCATCATCAATATTATCTTTTATATTTTCTTAGGCTGATTTATATTAATACTCTAAGATAGAAGTACATCGAGAATACGTCTGCTAGTATTCTGAAAACATTTTTTTTTTATTCTATATATGATAATGTTTTTTTATCATCATTGATAAAATTATTGTTACTACAACAATACATCATTGACATAATTATTGTTACTATAATAATACACATTTATATAAGCTAATTCATGCATTATAATTGTATAAGGTAAGCCATTAGATACTGGAGATAAATTTAAGACTATAGGCGAATCGAATTAATTTTTAATTAATATTTAAAGCAAATACGTTAAGAATTAACTGGAGAAGATTAACTTTATAAACCTTTAAATGATAAAACTATATTTTCTTCTCTTATATTGATAAATTTCGTGGACATTTCTTAGGAAATATACTGCCTCCAATTTGCCTAATTTACAAAAATCAGTAAAATCTAATGTGCTATAAAGTGTACTATAAAATACTCTGAAAAAAACGAAGATAAATACATTTTCAAAGTGATAGAGGGAATTCACAATTTAATGTACGTAAGGGAAATGTGAGCATATCTATGAAGATTTATGAAATTTAAGAAGCATATTATAAATATATTAAACGATTTTTTGTTTTATTATTAAAAAGAAAAAAAATCATCGTTTGAACCCTTATGATAGAACAAGAGCTTGATTAAAACCATCGTTTAATAATACAGATTACTATCATGAGAGTTAAAGTCTCCATCAATGGCGGAGGTAAAAGACCATAATGTCGGTAAAATTAAGCCGACATCGATGAGACATGTGGGTCGACGGCGTGGAAAGACAATGGGTTGCGACATTGGTGGTGCAAGATCTGCGAACCTTGTTAGGTGGTGACTCGTGAGCCGGAGTCCCTCGTGACTCCAGAGGCCCCTAATCACCAAGAGACTTTAACGCAGCAAGAGCTCCCAACGTTTCTTATCTGGATGATCTCACTTGTTGCACACGTCATGTAGGACGACTACCTTGGCATACGGGATGAGTCACATCGGCGATTGTCACAAGATTGTATCATTGTTTCAGTTAAGTCAATGCAGAAAATGATGTCGGAACACAAACAGTTACACGATCGTGATTAGGAAGTTGGAGGTGCACGGTCGATAAACTACCCAAGAACCACCATGCATCGTAACGTACCCACAGCAATTAGTTCGGTAAATAGAGTTTTATTTATTTATTTTTTATTTCATTTTTATTTATTTTTAACATTTCATCAATTTAAAAATAATTCAAGGGTGATAAATATTCAGGACGCAGTCATTATAAAGTTTTTATTAGTGCCGACGTTTCAACCCAAACATCTTTTTTTTTCGTTCAACAAATTTTTTTTATTTGTTTATTTAGAAATATTACATTCTGTCACAATCAAGGACATTTATAATAGTGTTCAGAGAGCACACTCACACTCTATTTACAATAAGTAAAAATAAATAATACAGAAACTAATAATAATAAAAATAAATGTATATAAACAAACATCTTGAATACCCTCAGTGCTCGAACCACGCCCTGATGATGACCCACATGTTTAGGTTGAAACATCGGCACTAATAAAAACTTTATAATACCTGCGCCCTGAATATTTATCATCCATATGTAGAATAGTTGACTTCCTTCAATAAAAATAATTTAGATGTTCGGTACAAAGTGAATTTTGCCAGAAAACGGAAAAATGCTTTTCTTTTTTTAAGCTCTTTACTAAATAACCAGTGTCACTTCAGTATTACTGCTATGGTCATTTCATATTCATCATAATAAAGTATATTTATTTAAAATAAAAACAAAACCAAATATACAGCCCCAATAGATTGCCAAAAACTTTATCAAACCTTGACACCTCTGAAAAAAGTAATTACTTAATAATATAGAAATAAACATTGAGTTATGTATTACAAAACGTCACTTGTCTATATTTTTCCTTTATTAGTATTTTTTTTAATATCCCCAAATCTATTGAAAATTGAAGTAACTATAAACTCATTGAAAGCGTATATTTTATATTTCAGCGTACAGAAACATTTTTGCGGTTATTCAAAGATATTGAAAAATGTAGAGTTTTTGGAATTCCACAAATAAACTGTGAATTATTGCAAAACTGTATTAAAAATACAACATATTTTAAGATTAGAGTTTAGATTAACAACTGCATTAGGCATGTAAAAAATAAAAAAAGTTAAAATGGAATTGCTAATTTTACATCAGAATTATTTTTATACATATGTTGCTAATAATAATATAATTTATATTATAATTACTAATATAAAAATTAAAATGGCATCCAGGTGTTTATAGTTCTTCGAACTCTCCTGAAAAACCTTGGGGTCAAACAGCCCTTTGACATAATCTCGGTGATTCATAACATTCTTTAGATCGATTTTTTTTTATTTTCTCAAACCTTCATTCAGTACTCTTTAATGGGATTCACAATTTTTTCTAGATTGCATTTTTTTTCTCAGTCCAGCTTAAGGAAATTTGAAAAAATGCGATCCTTTATTAATCAAATAAGAAAATTACAGTAATTTTCGATAAATTCTTTTTTTTTTTTTGTCGTTTGTTGTAGAGCAATTTTTTTCATCTTTCTTAATTTGTTTTCTTATTGTGCATATGTAATGTAAAAAATAAAATCCTTCTAGGTTCTCATGGCAACTGTGAACGAAAATGCGTCCTGTTTCTTTAATATGAATATTAATACCGTCAAGTAAATCGGAAATAAGGAATAATGAATAAGGTTTTATCAATGTTTCTTTTTTTCAGAAAGAGAATGTTTTGTAAACATATTTAATTGATATGCATATATACAATACAAATATTATAAAGTAAACACAGCGTTATTAAATAATACATGAGCAATTTACATATGCAATTAAAGTACATTTACAGAACATTGTATTTCTAAATAAAAAAAATTGAATAATTATATCTCTAGTCATATCTTTTATGTAATGTGCCATTTTTAAAAAGTTTTTTTATAAAATATTATACCAAACGTCATCAAATGTACACCATGTATTATTTATTTGACGTTTCGACTTCAAGAGCCACTTTCAAGATCTTGCGAACTATTTTTAATTCAGTTGTTATACTTCAAACTACATCATTATAAAACACATATTAATTCAAAAACAATCAATTTGAAATAAATGTCAAATTTCTAATCTAATTACCATGCACCGCTTCATAAAATGTCTCATTATAATATAATTCGTCGGTTTGTCGTTTTTTTAATTTCATTTAATGTCGTTTTTTCACTACTAAAAGTTATAGTAAATAAATAAATACTTAAAATAAAATGTTAAAAATTTTAAGAAAAGAAAAGAAAAACAAAGGTAGGTAGATGAAAAATTTTTACATTAATTTTAACCAAAATGCTATGTTATAAAAAAAAAAATTTATAAAATAGAATTTGGACTATCTATATGACTGATTGTTATTGAATCTATATATATATATATATTTTATAATGATGTAGTTTGAAGTATAACAACTGAATTAAAATTATTTAGGAGGATCTTGAAAATGGCCCCTAAAGCCGAAACGTCGAATAAATAATACTTGATGTAAAAACTGTGAACTTTTGTCTAATATTTTATAAAAAAATTTGAATAATTATATCAATATTAATTTTAATAAAATTTTAGTATGATTATTATAACAGCTTATTTGGGTGGAAAGTCAAAGAAAATTAGAATACGACTTAAAGAAAAATTATATAAGAAATTGGCACATTTTTTAAAAATTAATATACCGAGAAGAGAGTATTTTGGAGGAATAGTTATTAAGAATTATTATCGTTAGTACAATTATTTAAAATGGTGTAACGATTATAATAGGTAAGAATAGGAACGCGGTCTGGATGAAAGTAAACTCGTATCAGGGTCAATGCCATTGGCGCTAGTGTTCACAGCGTATTTGATAACAGATTCACCTTCCGAATGAGATATATATATATATATATATATATATATATATATATATATATATATATATATATATATATATTATATATTATATATAGATTTGTTAATATTTCAAATATATCGAAATATTAATACGTTATTTAGATACCAAACCTCGGTAATTTTAATCTTTGAAAAGAGAAGAAAAGTAAATATTGAACAATAATATTGGTACGTATAGTATCGATAGTAAGCATACATCGAAATATCACTAAAAATAAATATATATATTTTTACACAAAGACCGAAAAGAGATTCATTTGTGTTCTACTTCCACGTCTAAAATGCCGAAATCTTATTGAATAATGCATTTCCTGATTGTCATATCTGTGACAGGCACAAGTGAAAGAGAAAAAAAATAGTTTTCTTAATAGATTAATTGTTTTAAAATATATGTTTCCGCTCTTCAAATTTTAAGATTGATATAAAATATTTATGTATATATATTTTTTAAAATTAATATTTAATATTGATATTATCCCAACACCGATTTCCCATT